GGGGGGGTGAGGCAGGCATGGGGGTTTTGGGGGCTCTGGGGTTGGGGGGCTCTAACAGGAAGGGGAGGCTAATATTTATGGGCACTGACATCCAGGATGGGGAGCTGGCACTGGCAGACTCTGGGGGTGGGGGCTAGTAGTGAGGGGGTTAGGGAGGCAGGGCTGGCACTGGGGACAGGGCTAATATTGGGGGCTGGCAAGAGGGGATCTGGGGGATTTGAGTGTAGTGGGGCTCTGGAAACAGGAGGCTGCAACTCAGGCATTTGGGGGCAGGAGGGCTGGCACTAGGGGACTCTGAGGGCAAGAGGCTGGCACTGGGGGTTTGGGTGCATGGGCCTCTGTAGTTTAGTGACTGGTGCTGGGGTATAGTGGAGGGGTGAGGGCTGGCACTGAGGGTTCTGGGGGCCAGGACTTTTTATACTGGGGACAGGCAATCTCATTCACAAACTTTTGGCAGACTGGTATCAGTTTATTTGCATATTTGAATATTCGTTATTTGCATAATGAATATGCAAACATGCACATAAAATGTTACCAGTCTGCCCAAAGTTTGCAAATGGGTTTGCAGGTCCCCGATATAAAAAAGCTTGGGAACCACTGGTATAGAGAGCCCCTAGCATGGATGGAATTATTCAGAATGAGGCAGGCCTGGCCTGGGCTCTGCACATTCAGGGCCCTGCGCTGCCCAGCTCCCACCCACCCAGCCACTCATTCGTTGCCCTGACTGGGAGCCGCCCAGCTGTGTGGCTCTGCCAACCACAGCATGCTGCCTTGGATTCCGCAAACTCTTTGGTTGGGCCTGGAATGAGGACTACACTGACCCAGGAGTCAAATTGCACACCAATAATGGGGGTGTTTGGAGAGCATCCACTAGAGCTGAAGAAGTCATGTTGCAGAAGCAGCTTTAGAGTAATTCCACTTCTGTTTGGTAGAATTCTGAGGAGGGTGAGGAGATACTTTTTTCCCCTCTGATCCTAGACGTCATCTTACGTGTAAAACCTATTTAAGTTTGGCTTTTTAATGGAGCATGTCAGATACCCATTGTTCTTGAGGATGAAGTCGATGCATGTATGAATATTCCCCAATTTCAAAGTTATCCAAGTGCAAGAAACTTGGTTAACTTGGGTGTCAAGTCAAAAAAATTTCAGTGCACTATCCAGTAGAAAAAATTCCTGACAGTGAGATGCATTAGGCAACTGAACAGTCTCCAATGAAGCATTAGAAATCCCATGGTTTAGGACTTTGGAAACTAGACAAACTGTAGGCTGTAAAATCATTGGGGCAGGGATTGTATCTATAATTTGTATAGAACCTTACACATTGGGACCCCAATCTTGTTTGGGCAATTCCACAGTATAATACACTAGAAAATGTACTGTAGAGAACAATTGTCCATTGGCAGGCTGGTGTACTGTTTGGACCAATCTTAGGAATCATCTGTAGCTGCCATTTCTTATTTTAGGTTAATCTATAGGATCTCACTAAAAATTTAGCTTTCAATATCCCTCTGAGGCAGGTTGGCATTATCTACATTTAACAACAGGGAAAAGTGGCATCTTTAAGTTTGCAAAAAAAGTCTACAGAAAAGGTGGGACTAGAAACCAGTCTCCTGACTTTCATTCCTGTGCCTTATCAAAACAGAATTCTTCCTTTCCCTGGGCAGTGAAAACAACTTGATAATATGAAGATTTTTAATCATAGAGAGGGTCTTTATATAGAGGACCCAGAGATTCTACACAAAGGTAAAACTACTTTTCTGAAAAGGGTAACCCCTTGCTAAACTGAAGTTCTTCAAAAAGGGATATAGATCACACTGAAAAATGTTACATGGAAAAAGTCCCCTTTCTACAGTCAGAAGATCTTTGAATTCTCTTTCATTTTTAGAAAGGAACTAATGCACCAAAGAAAAGAAAACTATTTTAAGTCTATTATCTAGGGACAGCAAACCAGTCAGCATGATATCTAGGTATGTTATCTAGATAGACCTCAGTGTCTCCCCTTCTCTCAGTGAAGTAGTTTTGTTTTTTAAAAGAACTTCCCTATGCCAACAAGCATTAATTTTGTATTTACTATGTTTACTAAGTTGTTCAATAACTGCCTTATGCTGATAGCTCATAAATAATACTGAAGACAATGAAGCCTCTCCCTTGGTGAGGCACAGACAGCCACATGGAACAGCCAACCTCTTTGAGTGGTTTGGGGCTGCTGGGGGCCCTGCTGGGCTACTGGCTGGGAGCTGCTTAGGCAAGCACCTCCTAGCCAGAGTCTGCCTCTGGCATCCCATCCCCTCCTGCACCGCATCTCCCTGCCCCAAGTCATCACCTCCTCCTGCCCCAGGTCACTACCCAAATCCTCTGCACCCATGAGTCCAGCTCCCTCCCAGACTCTGCACTCCCTCCTACACTCCTCTCCCAGGCCAGAATCCTCTCTTGCACCCATAACACCTCCTGGACCCTGCACCCCAATCACCTGCCCCAGATCACAACTCCCTCCTTCAATCAAACTATCTCTCGGATCCCACATCCTCTCCTGCACCCCAGTCCCAGACCCCGAGTTCCCTTCTGCACCCATCCTCCGTCCCAAACCCACACTTTCTCCAAAGAAATGTGCAACTCTTGACTACTTATTAAAATCTTGGAGTGGCCCTCCCATCAAAAATTATTGCCCACCCCTGCTCTAAAAATATACCTGTGTCCTCCATCTTAATGAAAGTTCTCCACCCACATCCAATATAGTTTACTGAGGTTCAGAAGCAAGGAAGTGTTTTACCTAATAGTGTTAAAATACAGCACAAATAATGCTGATATGACAGGAGAAAGATAATATGAATCATCATCTTCTGCCTACTCAGGAATATCAGCTCATTATTACTTATTATTGACTTACACAAATATAAAACAAAACTTGAAACAATTGAAATTATATAGACTATTTTTCATCTTTCTAATATTATTTGGAATACATTTTGCAAATAACCTAAGCCTGCTGTGTTTCTGCTTAGAGAGACATCCATCACTGTCGAAACATTACAGTACCTTTTGAATAGTTTTCTCATCTTTTTCCATTTTTAATTGCATACCTCGAACTTCCTTATCTGAAAACAAAAAAGAAGAAAGGTAGAGCATGAAATTACATGCCTAGATCATTGTATTCATATTGTGTGTTTCAGGTCAGTCTAAGCCTAGTGGAATTCACCGTGGATCAAAGTCCTAGCAGAAATCTGACCTTCACAACTGCCCTTGACATTCACAGCCTTCTTCCTGCTGTTCAGCCGGCTGGTCAGATAGAGATTAAGAAGTAAGTTCAAGAGCCAAGTGTGGCTGAGTGCCCACAGCTTTTCATTAATACTAGTTCTGGACATCCTTGCTGTTAGTCACAGCCAATACAAAGTGCTTTAGCAGGTGGTTCTTTATTGCGCAAATAAAACTATGAAGAGATGAGAAGTGCCATTAAATCTGATGATAAACAGCAATAAAGAATACTGTTTATATCAAATTCATCTTTCTACTATAAAAGGTACTACTACGTCTAATCTATTTGGGTGTACCAAAGTCAGAAGCCAGATTTTCCACACAAATTTGGTTCTAATGCTATAGATTTCTAGCTTTCCATGAGAACTTTCTAACACTGACAATATACTAGTGGCAACTTGAAAATAATGAGAGGATTTGTTAATTGTTCTTATAATCTATACAGTGTGTATGAATATGTATAAATACACACAAACACACTCAATTTCAGAATGAAACAAAAAGAATCCCTTTTTAAAAGTGTTCTAAAGTAAAT